CTCCCCACTTCATCAGCTGATAATTAACAGGATTTTGGATTTTTTTGACTTTTTAATTTTTTTTTGTATTCTTCTAATGTTAATAAATAATGTATAAAAAAATGGATACAAAAAATGTTGATTGCTTTTTTTTTACAGCACTCCAAAAATGACCTAAAATTTATGTCTCTAGACCAGAATACCCCCTTAAACGATAAAATTTCCTATGGAAAATGATTTAAGTATGATAATAAATGAGAATCTAACTTGTTGATGGAATAATAGAGTAAAAATTTATTATTTTACAGTACAATAAAATATATTTATATATATATATTACGTCGTATTAACATCAATAGATGATTTTAAATAACATTGGGCTTATCTTATCACATTACCAAAAAGTACGCCTCTTCCTTCTTCTATTAAACAATATCTACGTCTTATCCTTTTGTGTATGAAAATAGAAAAGTCTACACAGAAACCTATGATGAATATATTTTTCTATTTATAGATATAAAAAAACAAATCCCTAAGAAGAACGAAGTAAAAAAAAAATACATCTGCTTTCAACACGTGATACATGATATTTTATTTATATACAAATATATCTCTCGTATGTTAGTCATAGTTTTTTAATTTTTCTTTTTTTTTTTTTTTTTTTTTTTATAAACGAATACATTATCATATAGAAAGACATTTATTTTTGGAAAGTATAAATTTATAAATGCTCATAGTAGTAGAAATTTAGTTTCTCGATCAGAGGTAGTTTTCATATCTGCGTTTACTATATAATCCATATTTTGTGTAGAAATGATTTATTCGAATGGATTATTTCAATAATACGAGCAATTATATTAATGGATTGTTAATGAAGTTGTTAATAGTTTTTCATTCGAACTACTATTACTACTAATAATAATAATAATAAAAATATGCTTATAGAAGATATTATTATCAGAATAAAAAAATAAAATAAAAATTAAATCGTATCAATCATGTCTTACATGTCGTGTCTTACATGTCTCACATGTGTAAAGGTAACTTGTACCTTTCATTTATAAACTTAAATACACAGATATCTTTTCTTCTATAAAATTTGAATTACTCAAGAGTCAAGAAAGGCAGGATTTGGTATGTCAATGCATTACAATGCATTTTAAATTATTATTGTCTAAAATGTCTAATATTTAAGCTATGATACTGATAGGAACCCATCCCCCAAATGCTTTTTCTATTTCCTCGGCAACAGCTAACGTCAAACGATCTTGATATAAACCACCAATGACCTAAAAATATAATTCATTAATTAATTAACTTTCATTAATTTGTGCTTGAAAATTTCAAATGAAGTATAAAAAAAATATAATGCAGTGCCTGTATGCCAATTGGAATTCCTTCCTTGTTTAATCCTAATGGACAAGCGGTGGCTGGTAAACCCAAGACATTAATAATTGCAGTGTATGAAAAATTAAATGGTTTTATAAGTGGTTCATGATGTAACGGCGCTGCCGTTGGATGAGTTGGATACAAGAAAACACCGTCTTCTCCCAAAATATCCTGCAAATAATATCAAATTAAATGAAACTATAATAATCCATATTATAATCGATATATTTGTTGTAATATGTTAATTAAAAATCTAGAATGTATTTAAGGTGCATGCATCGGTTCTAAATTAAAACGTCACTCTCTCTCTCTCTCTCTCTCTCTCTCTCTCTCTCTCTCTTTCTCGCTCTTTCTCTCTTTTTTCTTTTCTCTCACACGATCAAAGATAAATTGAAAGATAATTTCGAATAATTGTTTGTAATACGATCTTTGATATATACAGTGGGTAAAAAAAGTATTTGTATAATGCTTTTCAAGTAATTCTACTTGAATAGGAGAAAAATATTAATAACCATTTTCCGGTAACTTTTGCAAATAATAATAATATGATTTGATAAAAATTCTCATAAAGTTATTAACGAAAGAATAAATGCGAATAAAATGATAAATTCTATAGCTGAATAAATATTTGCACGTCAACGTTTCTGTGATCATCGCTCCTTATATATATATACAAGGAACTATGCAAGCCTTGGTTCATTGTTAGGGCAGAATTATAGTTTGCAAAGTAATCGTTTCTACCAACAAATATCCGAAATATCGATCATTGAGATAAAATTGTTTTTTTTTGCGTGACGAAGGTCTAATAATAAGTTATTGTCAAATTGGTGACAAAGAAAACCTAAACTTATCAAGTGTGTGATGTGAATAAAAGATAAGAAGCAAATGGTGTTAAAAGAAATAAACGAGGATCGGGATGCCTGAAAATATATACTCAAGGAGATTAACGACAATTTATAATAGAAGATGTCCAATAAATCCTTTGGAACTTCTTGCAATGATGTTTACAACCTCAGGTAAGATTGTTTGTACCTGATCTGTGAGAAATGTTTTCCATTATTCTGGTTTATATGGTAGAACTACGAGGAATAAGCAGCTCGTTGGTGAAATGAATAAAAAAAAAACAAACGATTGGATTTAAAACGAAAAATGCTTACAGAAAGAAGCGGAATTTTGCAATTTTTTTCGGATGAAAGTAAATTCATGTTGCACGATGTTGTTTTTTGTATCGGATGAAAAAAGATTCGGTAAAGTAAGGTGTTCCAATACTTTGTTTACCCATTATATATTATCTATTTGCATGCAGATATGTGTAAAACGATATTGTAGAGACTACTTATAAAAGAAGCACGCAATACCATAGAAATATTGCTTTATCCACGTCAGATTTACGTTGGACTCGTGAGGAAATAAAAATCATGTCCATTAAGAAATGATCACATACGATCCATGATTCTATGGCAAGAACAAATCATATCTGGCTATTTTCATTGCAAATACATTGCAAAACAGTCAAGAGAAGAAGTCCGATCCTAACAAGTTACAGGCATGGAGATTCGTTACACGTAGTAAACACGTAGAGACGCAGAGTATTTTAGTCTCGATCCCTATGTGATTTTTAAAGACACCATTAACAAATTTATATATACCCTACCTGAAATTCTTGGTAAAGGTCTCTACTTTCTTGTATAAGTTTTGTGTATTGCTCACTCCCATGTCTTATACCTAACCTCTCAAATGCTACTGTTACTAGAGCAATGAACGTATGATTGCTTAGGAACATTAACCACTTTGTAAATTCCCACCAAATATTAATACGTCCGCTCCTGTTAGACAATTCGTAGGAAAAATCTTTATCGCCTTTTGATGTCATGTTTGCGAACCACAGATTAGCGCTTTTTTTTAATTTTCGTACTTGTAACTTCGTAGGTTTTATTTTATACACTTTCTCAAAATGAAGAAGCACTTTTCTCATAGCACATTTTATTTCCTCGCTTACAGGCGATACAAAATATTGTCCTCCGTCATCCTCCATGTAATAAAACTGAGCAAAATAATACGATATTATTAATCAATTATAAAACAATTAATTGAAAATGATTGTGGAAAATATTTCAATTTACTTTGAGTTTCGAAACATCAACTTTGTCATCTAAATTCAATTTTTCCGCATTTTTATCAGCTATTATTTTAAGAACAGGTTTCATATCCTGTGCAAATCTGCACATTGGGCCTATCCCGAGTAATTGGTTTTGATCTTCGTTGTGTGGACTTGGATATTGACCATCAGTAGAAACAATACCTAAATTTGGATCGAATGATTAGTTAAATTAAAAATTAAAAGCATTAATAATAGGCGTCAATGATTTTTTGTTATTAATATAAACCTTTGGAAGGTTTATGACCAAAAATTCCATTGAAAAAGCATGGCATGCGAATAGAGCCGCCAATATCAGATCCTATTCCTAATGGTGAACCGGCAGCTGCTTGTATGCAGCCCTCACCCCCGGAAGAACCACCTACTATATGTCTAAAAATAATAACACAACAAATTCAAATGAAATTCGAATAGCAAATGTGATAACTAGATATGCGCTGTGCAAGAAGAAAAGTACGGTAATTAACATTCCAACTTCAAATCAATAGGGTTTGTCCTAGATCAAACAAATTACCTAGTGTTGTACGGATTCTTCGTGGTACCGTATAAACAATTATGGGTTTCCCACCACATAGCAATTTCTGAAACATTCGTTGTTGCTAATGGAATAGCTCCAGCTTCTTTCATCAATCTTATTACTTCTGCATCTTTCTCTGAGACAATATTTTTTCGTAAAACCAGACCAGCCGTTTGTTTCATATTTTTTATAGCAATACAATCCTATGTATAAAACGATGATTAATACATATTGTTAGAAAATAGTTATTTAATTGATAAGAGAGAAAGATTTTACCTTGGTTGAAAATGGAACACCTAGGAAAGGTTTTTCTTTGGCAAGAACTTTCGCAGATGGTGCATTAGGAGATTCTAACATTTCGTCGTATTTTTTAGCTTCTAAGAGAGCTTCCTCAAAACGATCTTCAGCTACACAATTTAATACTGGTTGAATCTCTTGTATTCTCTCAATGTACGACTTTACTACTTGCTCGGAAGTTAACTAAAAATAAAAGAAAATCAATCGGTGACCCATAGGATTGATAAATCAATGATTAAATTAAAATACACGTGATCATACTTGTTTATTTCTAATTTTAAAAGCTAACGTAGTTGCACTGTGTAAAAGTGTTAAATCGTTTATAGGTGGTTGACCTTCTTTTGGCCCACGAATATAAGCTGCTAATGAAAATATACATTTGGCAATGAATTCGATTAAACGATGAATTAAATAAAATATTTGTCCTCGTGGACTACTTTTCCTTTGGTTTTTATTTTTGCTCGCCATTATTCTGCAAAAAAAAAGAAAAAGACAAATAACAGTATTAATAAATATATAATTTAATTTGTTTAACTTTTTAAAATATATCTGAACGTTCGCCTTTAGTTTATTTTGATCGTTAGTGCATTAAGAAGGAAATGTAACAAATTAATTATGTAAGCCAATTTATGTTCGAGATAACACAATTGAAGAAAAGAAAGAAAAACAAGCTTAACACACAAACGAGATGGTATTTTTATAATAAATTTTTTTTTATCGAAATTGTTATTGAAACGTTATCGCTAGTTTTATTTCTTTTCCTCATGAGTTTGATTGAAAAGAAAATTGTTTGTAAGGATCCTTGTGCCGAGTTAATCGACCAAATGAAACGTAATCCAAGGTTCGTCGTAATCGTTAGTCGAGTTTAGTTTAATAACGAAATTGTCGGAAATATGTTTTCAAACGAGATAAAATTTTGATCGTAAATAATAAAAAAACTTTGAGGGTCAACATAAGAATTAAATGTTGATAAAGTTATATATATTAATAATTCATTATTTTCGTTAAATTTTGATCCACCAATGGTAAAAAAAAGCCTTGCAACGTTCTCATTGGTTTTTATCAGATAACATAAAAAGATATAAAAGAAATTAATAGATAAGAAAAAAAGAAGAAAAAAAATATAACGGAGAAATAAAACACGTAAAGAATATCGAACGTATTAAACGATAAAAAAGATTATTAAAACGAGTATGTTTTTTTTCATTTTATCTCTTTCCAGTCGTTTAAATAGTAAACGTGTACTATCTCACGTACAAAGAGAGGAAGAGAGAAAAAGGTGATGATAATAATGATGATGATGATCATGAAGAGGGGAAACCGGCAACGAGTGTTATCATCTAAAAAAAGAATACAATTGCAAGGTCGATGATGCCATGTGAGTTTGACAGTTTCGCATAAAACATTTTATTTCGCTTTAATATTTTTATGATGGAAGATAAGAGAATTGCGTGAGTCAACTTAAAGAATAACTTTACCTTTAAAGTAACGTCGATAATAGTGTCGAGTATTATGCAAACGCCATTTACGTGTTGGGCTTATCCAAAATTTGATTAATGCCATTCAATATAATACTCAGAAATATTATTTTCTTATCGTTATTTATATAACAAATACATTTCAAAAAATGATGAAAACGAAATTGTAGGAGTGGAAATAGGGATGATCGAAAAAAAAAAAGAGAGGCGGGGCAGTAATGAATTTGAAATGCGATACTCACGAAATAAAAAAACGTTAACGTTTCTAAAAATTTCACTTAATTTTCTTCGTTAATATGCGACAAAAATTCGAGAACGATCGGAAGACAGGAAATAACGTTCTAGTTAGCTGATCCCTCCTCCGTTCGGTGACTTGAAAACAAACCGGTAAAGAGAAAATTTGACACAAAGCACACACTGCTCAAAAGGATGGATGATCCCCTTTTGTGTATCTTCGTCTCTATGTGTAGCAAACAGAGAAACACGATCAGAAACTAATGAGCGATTTAAAAGTGGTCACGAGTGATCAACGAAACGTCAGTCCACGTATTATCTTTCTCTTTTCAACGCTTCCTTTGCTTATCTCTCTTACACTCACTCACTCACTCACTCACTTACTCATTCTCACTCTCACTCTCACTCTTTCTCACTCTCTCTCTCTCTCTTTCTAATTTTCATCCATTTCACACGAACATCCTGTCTCTTTTGTTTTCATTCTAAGCCGTTTAAAAATGTGCACGCGATGCTCTTTGGTGGTTTAAAAATAGTACAAAATGTTGATACAGTCGATACAACCAACAGGTTATCAATGACTGTTATCGCAACTAAACTCACAACTTTCTACTACTATTTCCTTTACTTTTATCCGTCGGGTGATGAATATTGTCGTCGAAAAGGGAGAGAAACCTGAGAAAAAGACAGAGAGAGAGAGAGAGAGAATGAGAGAGAGAGAGAGAGAGAGAGAGAGAGAGAGTGAGAGTGAGAGAGAAGGAGAGAGAGAGAAAGAGAAAAGACCGCACCTCTCTCCCTGTTTTCATCATTTTGTTCCCACGCAAGCGTATAGGTAAAATCTCTCTCGAAAAACTCGAAGTTAGCTTCGATAGACTGACTCGTTCGATATCTCGAAAGCAATGGCAGAATCTAACCTCACAATCGCAGTTGCTCGTGAACAGTTAACGATAAGGTTCTTACATCTACTACAATTTGATAAAAAAAGAAAACGTTATCATTTCCACGTGCGTTCTAATGAAGCTGACTTTTGTTTTTGAATTTTCTTCGTTTCCGCTTGTTCGACTTTATCGTACACAAATGGTTTCCTCGATTAGGCAAGTTTCTCTTCGTGCATCTATACCTTTCTTTTTTTTTTTTTTCTTTTTTTTGTCTACACAATTATGATCGATTGTTTGCTAACGTAGTAGTAGTACAGTTCAAATAAACTGGTATTATTATTGTAATAATTCGTAATTAAAGAGTTACGCTTGGGAAAGTTAACTTTGTTCTATGTGAACAGCTTCCTTGCTTTCGTCTAATATTCGTGACCTTGATAAAAGAAATGGAGTAGATTTAATTTTATAGAGAGAGAGAAAGAGATAGCAAATAGATTTGAAATATGCGGGCCCGCGAAAGGTGAATGCCTTCTGATCTTTCAATCAAAAGCCAAGCTCAATTTTCTTTATTCAATTAGATTCATTGAAGTCAAAGGTAATTTTCTCGAGTGTCAAGGCTGCCGTTGAATTCTGTCGTCACTTTCGAAAGTTATTTATCATTGTATGTACGATAGGTGAAAGTAAATCAAATATACGAAGATGGAATACTTTCACTCTTTTCAATTTCTTCGAATGTTTTTGTTTTAGACTTTCAAAATAAAATATTTTATTTGATACGCAATATATTCTATCATTATAAATCCATTTAAGGATAGTTTCGATGATGATTTCACATATCAATCTACGAGTGAGATATATATATATATATATATATCTTTTGTTCCTCATCATCTTATCATTGCGGCACACGTTGTTTATGCAATGCTAGAAAAATACATTATTGGGCAACAGGCACACACAACCCCCCCTCTCCGCCCCCATATATACTATGCATATCTCTATAAACTGAAACTTAATGTCGATGTGTGTGCAGCACACTTGTGATGTGTGTATTCTGTTTCCTACATTAACAAAAACGGCTCGGTATTGTGGACAATGCCTAGGCATTGTACATAATGCCTGAATTGTACACATTTCCTATCATATATAACTAAATTCAAAATAAAAAATGACGCAATACTTGTCATATAGGAGTGCTTTATGTACTCTTTTATATTTTTCTTCGAAATAGGAAACTTTTATTGAACTCAAAGTCCTCTCTTACAAGCCGTTTGTACTCATAAATATCTAACAAAAAATACTAAACTATAAATTATAGTAAAGAAATCATTTGATCTTTTCTATATTTATTTTCGTGATTATGTAAAATGAATTATTGCTTGAAAGTACTTCCTCAACATTCGTTATATATACAAAACATTAACTCTAATAGTCCATAATTTAAAACTGAACAAAATATTTGTCTTTTTTTCCAGTGAAGAAAAAAATTAAACAACGATTCTTCTGAGAAAATTATTATAAAAATTAAGGATTCGATGAAGATAAAAACGTGAGCAGATAATTGTGCTATTGAAAAACAACGATCGAAAATTGACGTTAATGTTGATGTGATGTTGAATGACTCATAAACAAAAGAAAAAGAAAAAGAAAAAAGAAAAATAAAAAGAAGAAAATAAAGTAGAGGAAGGGGGAATAGCAAAAAGAAATAAAATAATACTTAATAAATAAAAGTTAAAATATGAAAAAAATAAGTTCACCCGAGGAATATAAGGAATCGGATATGGATGAAATAGATTTGCAAGATAAAATGAGGATGATCGGTGTAAAATCTTCCTCACCTACTAGTCTCTTAGCAAGAAACACTCTGTTGCTACCGAGCGGAGTAGTTAATGTCAAACAATTATCCAATGTAAGTTCAACGAATGACACTGGATCGTCCACGAAGTCTTCTGGCTCGGCGACTGGTAAGCTATGGTCTTCTTCTTGACTCACCTTCTCTTCCTCCTCCTCTTACTTCTCTTCCTCTTTCTCCTCCTCTACCTCTTCCTCCTCTACCTCGTTTTTCTCTTTTTATTCTACTACCTCCACAATCCCACCCCCCACCAAAACCTCCTCACTTTTCCCTTAGTCCATTATAAGCAATTACCTCCACATGAAGAAATTTAGAATTATTTAAAGTCATAATTAATAATCAATTAACGACGTTTTTGATTATATGGTTATTATAAATAAAATTCATGATCATTCCTGCTACGCGTTTTAATTTCTAATTCAAAAATTATTATAATAATTTGTACTCGTGTTTATGAGGTGTATTAATGTTATGTCCCGAAGACGAGAATATTAGAATTTAGTTGTTGAGCCTGTTTTAGCCACTCTGCATTCACCGAGTTTAGCCAGGACCAGGCAGATTCGTTGAAAGGGAAAGAGGGGTGCCCGTTATGCCAAGTCAGTGTTTCGTGAAAGAATGTCGAAAAAGATTAAGCAACGATTTCATCGTGGCGGAACGTCACAGTATTATTTTTTAAATATTGTCGGTTATTTTCTATTTATTAATCAAACTCGTTTGCATAATTATTCACACTAGACACGAATGTGCGCAGTATACGTATGCAAATATTCTTTTTATTTAATAGCCGATTTACATATATAGAAATATAAACTTTTTTAGTTAACTTAAATTTCGAAAAAGCTTATGCGTATAACTTTTGAGATAAAATAGCTTTCTACTCATTATATATCTTTCAATGTCTATGACTTATTTTATTTATCGATTTAATTATCACATGTTTTTTTCTATTATATAAATTGAACTTTTTTGTATACTTATAGTTGAAAATTAAATGAGACAAAAATGAAAAAAAAATTGTGAAGTAAGTGTTAGAAACACGAATGGGATTTTATGACCAGAACACCAAGCTCACCTCTCTCTCTCTCTCTCTCTCTCCCTCTCCCTCTCCCTCTCTTTCTCTCTTTCTCTCTAACTGTGTGTATTATATTGATCTACCTGTTTGAAACGTTATCCATATAGTCTACCGTTTCCTCCACAGTCCTGAACAATCTTCCATCGTGAAACGATCATCTAATCTTTACTCTTTTCGTGCTTACTCGTTTCTATGTGTATATCGATTAATAACATTTGGTTTTTTAAAGTCAATGTTACCTTATCGTTAATAATGACTCATTGTTTATATTTTTCCTTACGATAACATATTGTTATTGTTGAATACATCATGAGAATGATTTCCTTCTTTAACGGTTTACCAGATACTCCCGAACAAATTTTTTTATCGATAATCGATTGGATGTTATAACCTACTTCGATTATTCTGCATATTTCAGTTTTTTTTTTTATTTTTTCTAACGAGAGATAAATGAAATGTCAGATGTAAGATACATATGCATGTTTTATCGTTAATAAGAAATATTCTATGCAACATTTATCTATTATTTTTTATTGAATATTTATGATTAGAAATAATGTAAGATAATAGCAGCGGTGGACATTGAGTTTTTTTTATTAGGTTTACTGTTTTTATGTGCTTTACTTTGAATACAATTATTTGCGTCACTCGATTTAATATATTATAAATTCACATTTCAAACTTGTTTATATCATGATCTAGCATTTATGCGAAAACTATGATTTAATAATGCTTGCTATACAGTAAATTGACGCTTTCGATACTTGGAAAGGAATAAATCGATACTTCGAACTCGATAGTTCTCAACTGTATTATGTTTGATCAAATCTAGCTTTGTTCTAAATTAAACAAACACATGTATGCATCATTTTAAAGGTAAAACGGTGATATGAAATAGAAAATAAATTCTTCATATGATGTTATTTAAATGATTATACGTAAAATGCTGTTTGCAAATTAGCTACACATTTTTATATTAATTAATACACTTAAATTGTTTAGAAGATTACAGTTTACGCAGCGAATATATACACACACACATACACACACATATACATACACAGGTTTGCATGTTGTCCATCGTGTTTGTGCATAAGAAGCAAGTATTTAAAAATTAAAGAAGGAAATTACAAATTCGATCCACTTTTCGTTATCGATGGACTCAGTTTCGCAGAAGGAAAGGATCGATCGATCTTATTGGATGATCCACACTAAGCATACAATTAAAAAATAAAAATAAAAAACATGTCACGATGCTATTGCTTATCTTTATTTTCCAACGTTTCAACCCCGAGTTTTGAATTGCATATTCAAGATGGTTAGTAATTAGTCCAATTGCCAATTAGTTATGTTCTATGTCAAGCTCTTATTTTTAGCTCTTATGCAATAAACTCATTTTACATTAAATACTACGTTCTGCTAAAATGATTCAATTTTTTTAACGAACTCGTTTTAATTTATATATTTAGTTAACAAGAGATGTTGGCTATTATTACTTAATCATTGAAATATATTGTTTGTGATTGACAAATTAAAATGAGTTTTATAAATATTTATTCATATTTATTCATCTGCAGATATCTTAACCGTATATTTTTCTTTCTAGGAAATCCAAGAAATAAGACAGCATTAGCACCAGGTCACAGTGTCATGGATTGGATACGATTAGGTAATTCAGGAGTGGATTTAACTGGAGTTGGTGGAATTCCACGTACAGTCACATTAACTGAATTAGCCAATCATAATAAGCAAAACGACGCGTGGATTGCAATAAGAGGTTTGAAGTTTACTCATTCTTACAATTTCCATATGCAAATATTTGTACTCGCTTGCTAATTTTCTCTTTAACTTTTTTTTTTATTTTTATTTTTAACTTAGGAATAGTTTTCAATGTGACACGTTACATGGATTTCCATCCAGGAGGAATTGACGAATTAATGAAAGGAGTTGGAAAGGATGCCACGAAATTGTTCGATAACGTAAGGCTATCTTAACGAAGTTAACGTCAATTAATACGCGTATTTTTTGTATTGAACGATTATTATTCCCGAGGCACCCATAGATCCTTCCTTACAGGTTCACGCTTGGGTAAATTATCAAAGTCTTCTTCAAAAATGTGTCGTTGGTAGACTGTGTCGTTCTTCGACTTCAAATACATCCAAGACCAATGGAAAATCATCTATTGCAAATGATCTCTTGAAAAGTTGCACAAGTAAAAAATAACACAATTTATGTGTATTTATGCTGATTTTCCCATTTTGTTCTCTCCTATTTTAAACGTCAAACGTTTGTTTAATCTTTTAGCTCAAAGTACAAGCGAGGAAGAAAAAGAAGAAGAAACCGATGGCGGTGTTTCAAAAATTAAGATGGATTGGCGTCAAACGTCTAACACCATAACTTTGTTTTATCAAAGTATAGACGATTATCAGGGTATCTATTATCGTTTATCGAGGATAAATGATACCAAACTCGTTTTTAATTTATCTTTTGAAAAAAATATTGTAACGCACGAGCTTGAATTAGCTGGAGAAATCGAATGGCCTCCTACTTGGAGTAGAAATTATGAAAACATGGAAGTAAGTTGCTATCTATCATTCTGAACAGCTTTCACTTTGTTATAATAATAATGATTACTTAGCAAACTTGATTATTTTCTTCTTCTAACTTTAGGTAGATTTTACGTTCAAAAAAAAGGATAAAATTGTTTGGAAAACTCAAGGTAATCATACCTTATCACGAGAACCAATAACCAATAAGAGAACTTATAAAGGATACGAAGTCCTAACGAACACACCACTTTGTAAATTAGTTCACTTGTTAGTTTTACGAGCTAAAGATTCGTTAGAATTAATACCAATCGGTAGACACTTGGAAGCAAAAATGAACATTGCAGGTGAGCAAAGTTGTTTCCTTGCGTAACGAAATTTAAATAATCATTTGATTTTCTTTTAACTTGTGAATACAGGTGTTGAGGTTTCTAGATATTATACACCTGTACCACCCTGTCTTCACCCGGAAAACACGGCACCGAATTACACGTCAGATTGTATATGCCTGATGATTAAAAGATACGAAGATGGTGCTCTTAGTCCATCTATAACAGCTTTGAAAACTTCAGAAAGTATCACGTTGAGTAACGGACTTGGTAACTTTATCGTTGAATCCTTTGATCGTTTTACCGTCATTCATATGTTGGCTGCTGGAACAGGACTAACAGTGATGTTAGGAATAATTCAACGATCTCTTGCAAGGCGTCACGTGTAAGGATTCCATTCTATTTCTTTTAAACATTTAATCCTATATCTTAATGAATATATATAATTAAGATTTTATTCAAAATATCTTGTAGGAAAAGTATCAATCTTTTAAACTTCAACAAGGATGAAGATAACATGTTCTATGTAGAACAATTAGAGAGAGCTTGCAATACAAATAAGTTAGTATTACTATTAGACAATCAAACAAGTTTTTTCTCTTTCCCCACGTTTGTATTTAATTTGTATATTAATATATTTGTTCGATTAATTTTTTTAGATTAAAAGTTACGCATATTCTATCGCAAGCGGGAGAATTATGGAATGGTAGACGTGGTTCGATATCTGATGAACTTTTGAAAGAATTAATAGGCAATTATTCACCTGACAGTTGTGTGTTTGTTTGTGGTCCTAAAGGATTCATGGTTTCCGCAAAAAAGTGAGTTATATATATATATATATAGTACTTTATTTTATAATAAATATATTAATGATTTTGATGTCCTTGATTTCATAGATGTCTTCATAATTTCAAATGGAAGTCCTATCAAATACACGAATTCGATGATTGAGATAATCTTAAAATTTGTTTTTATATTCCAAGCTCGATCATTGAAGGAAGAATTTAAAATTTGGGTTTAAGTTATTGTACAAATTCGTTACGGATAATCGAATGTGTTGAGGGATTTCAAGAAAGTCTTGTACTATCCATCCCTAAAATTATAAACACAAATCTTAGAGCTTATTATTGCGAATAAGGAATTGAAATTAATAGATAAATCTAAAAAAAAAAAAACAAAGAAAAAGAAAGAAAAGAAAGGGAAACGCTTGATACTAAATTTGGATGCGTCGTACGTTTAACGTACCTGTTTCAATCAATTAAACTAAATTTTGTTATTAGACGAATTTTGTCTGTCTTGTACGAGCCGGTTTAGTATAAAGAAATAAAACAAAGCGTTTCTAATTCGGTTATTAATATCTACAATAAATATTTGTCGGAAAAGAATTATGAATTTTTTTAGTATTCGCGTACTTAGATTCGATGTATTTACATGTATAGACAAATATTTGATTATAATTTCGAAAGAAGATGATAAATAATCTTCTTATTATCTTATTTTTCTCTCTTTTTTCGATTAATATCAATGATAATACGTTGATCGTCGCGTAGTCCAAATTTGGGCGACAATCATATTTCCGTTCAAGGTTACGTAACCCAAAAATCAGCTAACGTTGTTTTTCATTCAGTTTAAATAGATTTTCTCAAGTAATTTGCACACAATTTTATTTATAGAAAAATAAGACAAATATTTAATACCGTTTAACAAATATAAGTAAATTTATAAGTAAAATAATATTACTTCAACAAAATATGAGAGCTTCGAAATGAATCGAATCGAATCGAATAAACGACAAATGTTGGATGTTTGTTGAAATTTTAAAACGCATAGGTTCCTAAATGAAAAAGAAAAAAAAAGAGAGAACTGTCTTACGGATAATTTTCAATACATGTCTTCAAAATGTATACAGGGTAAATTTTAGCCTTGAAAGGAAAATTCTTGATCTACGCGTTATACGATCAACGTGTTAAGCGAATTATGAGTACAACTATCTTACTTTGATCATAAGTCTGCAAGTTTTACTATTGTTCGTTAAAAAGAATATTTCCATCCATATCTGTCCTGTCACAAGAAGCATTTATACTAAACTGATAAAAACATAGAATATTATTTTCTATATCTTATAATAATAATAATAATGTTTAAACGTAGACGATAGATGATTCTTTGGCTACATTCCTTTTTACTAAAATCTATCGTAAGTTATATCAAACGCCAATCTTTTTCGAAGTGTCTATTTTACCGAATAATAATTTTTCTATACTATGCAACCAAACAAACTAACCGACTGTAAGATAAACTGATAGTTCAATTTTAGCTGTGATTAAAATGAAATTACACAAATGTGATGGATTATTAAAGAAAGTCTTCTTCAAAGTAAACAAATATTACAACAGGAATTATTATACAACATTAATAGAAACAATAACGCCCGATATTTTTGGATATATGAATTGCAAGATATATTTAAGTAATGCAGAATATTTGTGACAATATTAAATAATTTGTTTTTTTTTTAATTAATTCCGAGTACGGAAAATGATCAATATGACTAACTGTAAATAGAAAAGAATTAAATATTTAAAAAAACTCTATTACTTGAAAATATTAATTTATAAGAATACTGTTTGTACCATAAATTCACATATCGTATGGTGTTAAATATTTTCATGGATTTAACCGACACTAAACGTGTATACGACTCCGATAGAAAATAAACACGTAATCAATGACCTGAAGTTTCTCGTACAAATCGACCTTTCATCGTCACTGCCTTTTTCTTCCCCTCTTTCTCGCTCTCCTCCTCCTACTCTTTCTTTCGCAATTAATTATACTGTAGAACAATTGCAACGGAAGAGCATCAACCTTGTTTATTTCGTAACGTATCAAAGCGTGTTGCGTTATTTGTCGATCTCTCGATGCTACCACGGATGTATACTTCCTATTAAATTCTCAAAAAGTGCTAAACAAATGAGAGAAAGATAGAGGGAGAGAGGGGGTAGGTAGGAGTGTGGGGGAAAATGTTCATTAACCGTAGAGAGTACAATACAGATGCGGGTTGAAACGATCGATGAACAAATACATACATCGACAGTATTTTATTGAAAAACACGATTATCAATTTGAATTATTCAAAATGGATTCTACTATTAAAAATCGATTATTATTATTTATTATACTTTACCGACGGAAAAAGATACATAAATGAATAATCAATAAGAAAATTACAAAAGATATGAGGCCTTAATAAACACTTCCTTTTATAAATGAATTCATTAGTTAAATTCAAAATGGAGTTTACTATCACACAAAAATCGATTATTATTATTTATTATATTTTGCGGTCGGATAAAAACGGAATGATGGGCAACTAATAAGATAACTTAAAAAAAGAGGTTTAAATAAACCCTTCGTTTTTTAAATTAATTCATTAAATTAAAAATGGATTTTACTATCACAAAAATCGATTATAATAATTTATTATACTTTGCGAACAGTAAAAACAGATAGATAGATAAATGGATAATCAATAAGAGAAGTTACAAGGAATACGAGATTCTAACAAACACTTCCTTTTTGAAATTAATTAAATAGTTCAATTCAAAAAATGGATTTTACTATCAAAAAATCGATGATTATTATATAAAATAATTTGCGAAGAGAAAATGACAGACAAATGGATAAGACGGAAAGATGAAAACGTTTAAAGACATTTCACGAGAAATAGAAAAAGTAGTCTGCAGTTATCTTTTTTTCTTTCTTTTTTCTATATATTCCAGTTAAAGAAGGGGAAAACTTTTCATAAGCGTGAAACTTTCACGGCCGAGTTAATTTTCCGGTATGCCTATATACACCACACAGGGAGAGAGAGAGAAAGAGAGAGAGAGAGAGAGAGAGAGAGAGAGAGAGAGAGAGAGAGAGAGATCAACATAACACACACGCATACGTATATACACGCACGCATGCATGCATGCATGCATATACAAGGAGGAGGAAACACACACGCGTCTACACAGTGATTATTGATCGTCGTAACTTCTTTTTCCCCGCAATATGACGTAACGAGAGCACCGGCTGGGCAAAGACGAATGTCTTTTGGCCTTGCTTTCCTAAAAGATAAATGAAAAATGTGTTGCGGATTCGACAGCAAAAGTGCCAACAGGAGGAGGAGGATGAAGAGGAGGAGGAGGAGGACCGTTTAAATCTTACTTTAAACCGCACGTTATTCTTTTTCCTGCCTTCCTTGACCTTCACGATCTAGATCAGGGTTCACTTAACTTTCTTTATCGAGCAATTGTTTAAAAAATATTTTCTAATTAACAAACAATTTTAAATAAACGTACACTCTTTCTATTCCAATTTTAATTAGATGTTTGATGAAACAAAATTGAATAGCCTACAATTTTTGTTTTCAATTTGTTGACGTAAATAATAAAAATAAATTATTAAACAATATTTTTTAGAGACTCCAGAGAGGATTAATGAATTTTGTCAGATTTTTTGTAAATAATAATAACATTGAAAAGCCGTCCTCCTCGTACGGACGGCATTAGTAAAATCTATCTTGTCTCTCGATGGAGGATTAAAAAATTAAATATATATAAATGATTGTTATGATAAAATAAAACATCTTTAAGGAGATTTGATCATTGAATTATCATATATTTTTTTGATCAACAGATAGACCTCTCCTGGTTTCCTAAATTCAATAGCACATCAAATGTGAAATATAAATTAATATAAAAATAATTTTTGCAGAAATAAATGTGATTGTTATAGAAAAAAATAATAAATATTTAAGCTCAACAATTGTTTTCTTACACCATAACGTGGAATTTTTGTATTAACAAAGTCCAGAATTGCGTAGTAACGTTGATCTAGATCATCGTGATGGGATATATGATCCGATAAATATAGGAAACTAAAATGTAATTTGTAAAATGTAATGTCGTCTGACAGATAACTTAGTTAAGTGTCTACAAATAGAATCTAAGGAGCTAACAATCAAGAGAGAAAGAAAGAGAGAGAGAGAGGAAGAGGTGGCTCTTGAAATAACAATGAAGATGAGAGGAAAGTCATGGAGGATCCTTTCCTAAGAGCGATCCTTCGATTCGAATTAAGAGTCTTTCTTCCCCCTTTTCCCTTCTATCCTTCGATTCCTTTCTCTCTTTTAGATTTCATTATTGTTCACTGAATTATTCTAATAATCTACGAAAACTCTAGTTAAATTAAAATGAATTAGAGAAGTTTCAATCTACTATAAAGTTTGATGATTCGTTTTTAACTTCAAACAAAAGGTGAGAGAAAGAGAGAAAGAATGAGAGAGAGATAGTAATTCTAATCAAACTATTGATCGTGAGTATCAAAGGATTCTCTTTTACAGCAACATATGCGTATGAAATATTAAGGTTATAAGTATGATACGTTCGATCATTCTTATTATTTTTTGTTAGAAGTTGGATATTTCATGTTTGATTATTTGATAAAATGAGAGGGCTATTTAATGAATTTAAATGAATCAAATCAATTATACTTATAACTAATAAATATATGGTTTTATCTAATTTTATGTTCCACAATTCAATGGAAAAATTATCTTTTTCCTATGAGATGATCACAATATTTAGATACATAGTATAGTTTTAAAAAATACTATTCTAAAATGCGTTTAAATTTGCACATAGAATTCTAGTGTTATTACAACTTAATGAAAAATTTAAAAGTCCTAACGTGATAGAATATTTTTAAAAACAAGCAAATTCGTATTATATGTACTCGCGAAACCAACACGTAATAATTGACATATATATAACAAACAAGCTGTGAAACAGGCTGCTAACTAATTATAATTAGTTAATTTAATTCATTATTTGTTAACAATCGTTTAATCGAATGGAACAGGAATGTGTGCAGCGTTATCGAACCGGAATGCTTTTCACTTTTAGAAATCTATGACGTTGCTTGGACGCCGATGAAAACTCAAGAACCACCACCGACAACAATAGTTCATATTTTTTCCCGCGGTCAAGATATTTTTTTCCAACGACATTGATTGTGAGAGTTTTTTTTTGCTCGTACTTTTATTTCTAACGTAAAAGAGAAAGAAAGAGAGAGAACGATAGAGGTGAGGAGGGGGGGGGGATTAAAAGAATGTTTATATGATTTCGAATAAGCTTTCGATTGAAAATCGTTGGATATTTGTTGGGCCGATTTATTCGCGCGACGAATCTAAATTCGTACAATCGTAGGAAAAAATAAATGAACACCGATGGTTTTTTTTCCAAAATCCTACCATTATTATTATTATTATTATTATTAACCATTTTAATTTTATTTCTTTATTATCGTGTTACGATAAATAGATTATTTTATATAAAAAGAAAATTGAAATAATATAAATTACACACATTAAATTCATTATTAATCAAATTATTAAAAATCATATTAATATTATTTATAATTAATACATAATTAAATAATATGAAAATTATTGTTATTAATTCATTTTCCTTGATGTAAAAGTTGATCTGATTATGGTAGGATTATTATACACGCGAATACCTTGGAAACATATAATATAAAACACTATAGAAATGTTTTAATATATATTGTATAAACGTACGTGTGTATATGTATGTCCGATATTTTGTATCTTATCATCTTGCATGCAAATGAGAAAACATAATACTATTTACAGGAGAATTAATCCTGGCTTCTGCATGGCCAGAACAGAAGCTGTTGGACCAATGTCGAATACTGTCTTTATCGATCGAACAATGCATCGCAATGCGGTGAATGGTGCTTAAGCATCATTGTTCGAGCCTTGGCAGAGAAGAATATCGATCGTTTCTATTCTGCTATCGTGATTAAGATAGTACCTCACTTCTTTCACCCCCTATCCCCTAACCCACCCACCCACTTTCTCTTCCTATTCTTTTTCTTTCTTTTTTTATTGAAGTAACTTTAGCAAGAGACCGATATAGAAATTAAGAGAAAGAGAAAGAGAGAGAGAGAGAGAGAGAGAGAGAGAGAGAGAGATGAGGAAACCAGAAATAAAAAAAAATGTTACGGATACTTTCCTCGTATAATAAGACGGAGTCAAACTACAGGCTCTTCTGAATTTACGCGGTACTAATTTAAGGGAAGGAGGTTGGAAGGGGTGGGCTTTTTTTATACGCGATATCAATTTACACGATCCGAATTTACGCAGTCAGGAAATATCTACTTTCTTAGGAGTTGTAAGTAACAAGTGCGTGTACGCTAACACTATATGAGAGAAAACTCATTTTGTGTGTGTGTGTATTTTCTACAAGTTAGTTACGATTATTCGATATACGATGTTTAAAAAGTGTCTGTTCTATATTATATTTTTCTTGTTAGCCAAAAAATTTCGACAAAATTTTAACGAAATGTTGCAGCACACATATCGACAAATTTATGAATACTTATGGTAAAAGAAAATTTGTATAAAAAAATCATAGGAAAAAGTTATTAATAAAAAATTATTATATATTGTGGAATGAAAATAAATTTTAACTTCAACGAATATTTCAAACGATGAAGATGACGAGTTCGTGTCAATTAAAAAGTAAAAAATGTTTGATTGGTTTAAATAACAGTTTCGATGGCGACGACAAATATAATTTACATTACTAATTTTTTTTTGCAAAGCTATATGAAACAAATATGTATTTTATAAAACTGTATACTAGTTTTTATTTCCAATATTTTT